TTTTACAGGGGATTATATAGGGGACTACGATAAGGGTTATTAAGGGGGATACTAGGAGTTTAAACCATGGCTTATATAGGGATTATATCGGCGTGATGTTATATAGGGTTTTTTGTTCAAAGAAACCCCATGTCCTAAGCATGCCCTTTTTGGACCCCTGAGCTCTGCCATGTGGAGTCAACATTTGAAGTGAGTGCAACAGCACAGCGCAGGCCCTCCCAAGCCCAAAAGGCTAAAGGTGTCGCAACCCTATGGTCCCCCTGAAGCAGACAATATGGAGTATATTTTGGATCTTTTGAGTATATCAGGCAATTCCATATTCTAACTAATAAAAGGGGCACTATAAGTACTGAACAAAGACAGTTGTCGGACCCGAAATCAACGGCGGATCGCGGTGCCACAAAGAGAAAGGTAAAGCTTGTACCAGAACTGACAAAACTTCCCACATCAGCCTTACATACTGCCTTTATGAATCCAGATTCCCCTTTCAACTTCATTCACATCCCCGTGTAACGCGGTACGCGCTGCAACGCCCTAAACTGTCAGGCCATTCGAAGCTCGCATCGAGCGGGCCCTTGCAACAGTGGCCCGAGTGTTGGAGGTGCCACAATAAGGGGATGGGGTAGTTACATGCATAGGTGTTGAGGATTCAGGTGTGAGATGTTGGGATTTCACTCATGGCAGACGGAGCCGACTTAGGGCAGCGAGGTTCGGGGGTTTCCGCTGCAGGCCTCTCCGCCGCATGAGGACTCGACAGGTTTGGCTCCTAAACCCAAAACTTCCTAACGCACAAAGCTCCTAAACGACCCCTTTGAAGGTGCCTCCAGTCGTTTTTGTGAGGCAACACGGCAGCCGAAGGCTGCGGGTGATGTGCGGCCCGGCTGACAGTACTCACAAGGAGAATAGTCGAGGTCATTATTAGACACACTTTTGCACATTTTTCTGATATCAAGGGAATATGCGGAGATTAATGTATGGCTTAGTAACTTAGTAGCCAGGGTGTTTCTCAAAATGGGGTTTCTTGAGATTCCAGGGGTAGGTCGTGATGATAGGGGGATGATGAGGCTCCCTGCTTGGCATGATCTAAGCTTACATAAGGGACTTCTAATTTGAGAGATGCCAATGACAGAGACGTGGGTGCAGTGGTACGGTTCGGGGTGTCATGGTTCATCTTAAGGTCTCTAAAATCATGATGTGGCAAAATCTGGGATAAGGTGACAGAAATCTGTTCACGCAGGTCCAGCATTGTTTGGGTTTGGCTGCATCAGTGTTGGTGTACCTCGTTCTGGCCCAGTTTAATGATAAGTCCTGGACACCGATTAATGTGGCAATGCCAATCAAGTGTGGGGGGGGTTCCAATAATGTTGTTATTTCTCGTTGCAGGTCCTTCCTTGCCAGTTTGCATACCGGCTGCCCTTAGGGCCGGTGCGCCCCATGCATTCCTGCTGC